CTCATTTTTATTAAAATCTCTGACTTTTCGAAAATTGCGAAAGTATAATTTTTCGGCGTTTTCCTTCAACAACAATATTCAAGGTAGAGACTGTTTTCAATAAAATCTATTGTTCAAGAAAGATCTCGATAGAGGGTCAAGTACAATTTCTAGAAAACTGAGTAGTTTTATCATAATTTTGCGTAAAATATAGGAAATTTTGAATCATATATTTTCTTGAAAGAACTAAATAATTTTCTCATCGTATGGTTCAAAGGTGATGGGATACAAAGGTGATGATATAAAAACACTAATCACTCAAGCAATCGAAAGTAATGCAGCAGGACGCGCACAAGGCTATGAGAAAATGGGTAAAACGCATAACTTAATCGAAATTCAACGTAAAATAAAAATTGAAGGTTTTCACCAAATAATACTTACATTAAACAGGAAGTTTGTATCATTACAAAATACTTAGAAGCTCCTCTATATGAATAATTAATTACTTGCAGGTCTTGTTCAGATGGGCGTGATATTCGCATTAGCTACCGTAGTAGTTCTAAGCACCTCCACCTGCGGGGGCAATGCAATACCTTCCTCACAACTTGAAAGAATCGTTTCCAGCTCGGCCAGGACGAGCAGATTTATTCTCAGGTAAAGGTTACCGCCTACAGTGCAAGTAAGTGTGTGTGTAACTAAGGGGGTGAGGATAGGACAAGAATGAGTAAGGAAAGATCGCGCGCGGTCTGTGACCCGTTTGTTAGAGTACTGCTCCGGCATTAGCCTGATCTGAAAAGTCACGGAAAACTACCGATCAGAGCAGTCCACTGCTTGAATTCTCCTCCAAACAGCGACTGAATTTGATCTAAAACCTAGCTTGTGTCGAAAAGCCTCCACTGCTGGGCATTGCGGTGACATCAGTTGATGCCCTGACCCACGTCTTACGGTAAGGAAGGTTAATTTTAATGGGTGCAGAACCATGTAGAGGTAAATAATACGGCGACACTCACGTTAAAGAGAAGGCCAATAAATCCATGCGCATTCAATATCATCTAAGAGATTCTTTCAATGACGCCGCACAGGGACCTTGATGCTCGGCGACAGACAGCTTGGGGGAAAAGTCAAGGGGTTCTATACAAGGTGTCGGCCATAACATGTGAAAACAAAGTGATGTTATTTGTCGACTCGTTTGCAATGTTTATGGCCTTAAATCTTCCCTTCGTCAGCGATGGTGTGGCTCAGGCTGAAATGGTGGCCAACTATATGGCTCGAGTGCCCGTTCGTATGCCGACATTTAGGGATGAAGACTCGTTCTTTGTCACAGTCTTTCGACGATTCACGGCTTCTTAGATCCAGGGTTCTCTGTGGTACCCTGCTTCTTTGACTTCTAATAATAATAATAATAATAATAATAATAATAATAATAATAATAGTAATAGTAATAATAATAAAATAATAATTAAAATTATAATGTATTTGTAATTTGGGACGATTTATCCGACTTTGCCGGCTAGCTATCGATATCCTCAAACCTGGGATTTTAGTTTAATTTACACTCTTGGGAGAAGAGAGTCATGTGGCGAGCATGACGCGTTTTCGTCGCCGTATCTAGCCAACTCCTCCTGCCTGAGCGTTTCTTACTCTCACGGCTGTAGAAACTGATACGATGTGATCATAGAGCTATAGAGCTATAGAGCATAGAGCATAGGCTAATGTGATCATAGAGAACGGTACAGCTATTGGCGTACCCTACATTCAAAACAACCAGACTGATCGTGTCTTCCCTAGGAACGAAGTCGTCATATCTGCAGGTTCTATAAACTCACCTCAGCTCCTCACGCTCTATGGAATTGGACCAAAGAACCAGGTAGAAAAATTGGGCATTTTCACGATTGTAGACTCGCCTGTTGGTGTCATTCTATTTGATCATCCCATGTTTTGGGGTTTCATTATCAAAGTGGATGAACCAATTACTCCTAGACGCATCGATATACTTTCTGATTTGTCCAATTACGTGAACTACGTTTTGGATGACGATGATCCCTTGTCTGGAATGAGTTTAGAGGTTGCACAATTTTTAGAGATAGGGCCTGATGTGATCTTTTTCTAGCCCAACATGCAATCGTTTGTATACACCCAACCCCTGATTGTGACCGTTGAAACTGCACGAGTGTTTGGGTTTACAGAAGACTTTTTTTCAACAATTTATTACTCCCATTGCAAACGATGCAGTGTTTCAACCGACCGTAGTATTAAATAGTAGCAAGAGCAAAGGCACCCTCTCTCTTCTCATTCAGATATTTCACATATTCTCTCACTCTTCAAGATTCAGATATTGAACCGATTATAGACTCCAATTTCTTCGCCGACGAAGAGGATATTGCTTTCATGGATAAGGAATTAAAAGAACCAAGGAGTTTTACTCATCATGGCTATTCTCTGAGTTAGGAGCTTAAGTATAAAATGCTTCCATTCGCGCGTGAGTTCGATTCCGATGGGTATTGGGCTTGCGGGGCTCGCAGGGCGTCTGCGAGTGAAAGCCACCCCGCTGGCACTTGCAAAGTGGGGGTTCGTGGGAACCCGTCGGCGGTGGTAGGCCCCACTCTCAAAGTTTGGGGTGTAGAAGTCCTTCGAGTCGTCGATGCGTCTATTGTTCCCACTCCACCTTCTGGAAATTTACAGGCCGTCGTTTACATGGTTGCTGAGAAGGCCTTAGACTTGATAAAGTGCGAGTACCTGCGAGGGAGGTCGTGTTCATTCAAATAATCAAACGATAACTTTTATCAAATGAAGTACTAGTGATATGAGGAATCTTTGGGATTTTCGAAAGAAGAAAATTGTCTGGGCGTATAATTCACCCTTAGGCGAGTAAAATGTTGTGAGCTTTATACGGACTCTCTTCGGAAAACTAATGCATAGACAGGTTGGCATCCGGATACGTCGAAGTGCAACACTCTATTGAGAACGTCTGCCTTATTTAATAATATTCAGAACGTCTCCCCTATTTATTTATATCCAGAAAGTTTCCATTTTTATTTATATTCAAAACGTTTCCCTTATTTACTTATATTCAGAACATTTCCCTTTTTATGTATATTCAGAACGTCCCTTTCCCTTATTTATATTGAGATAGTCTAATATATTTATCCCAATTTTCCGAGTTGTTAACGGCCCATTCTCATAGTGTCGGTGTATATTTCTCTCTAATACCTAACTGAGCAGATTTATACTTTTCCGTCATAGGCCACATTATTCTGGTTTGTGGTGAAATAAATTATATTCCCGAGAGTATCGGAGTATCGGACTAACTACTTGGACGAAATCGTGAGGCCAAAGATGGACAATGCTGTTACACCCGGACAGACCGGAACCTCCAGCCCATCTTTTCACTGTGCTGACCTTAGCACAAACGGTTGAGTATCCTTGGAAATCTGGGAAATTCGAAGACGATATTTCAATTCCCCGCACGACTTTTACATGAGGAGCTCCAACACAAGGCCATAGACCCGATTTCTCCCGCAGAGATTAAACAGTAATAAATTAAATGTTTATTTAATTTAACATAAAGAATATGCTTAAATTTCATTTTCAACTTCTTCGCTTCCGCCTCCATTTTTTCTCCTTCATGGCTCCACCCAATGCTAACATCGCTATTATCGCTACTTCTTTGGCCCAAGTACATAAACTGAAACAATAAATGTGAGAAGTAGAGAGTGAACGTTTATGACTTTGACGACATTATAAAAATACGTTCGCAAAATGTATCATTTTTGAACCCCACGCCCTCTGGCAATTACTTGTAACACAAAATTTAACATGAAATTAACCCCATTTCGATAATTCGGCTTCAAGTTTTGTGAAATTGTGTACATGTTTTTAAATATTACGATATATTTAAAGAAATATACAATTTTACTATGTATTAAAATAGTTCAAAAGAAATAACAGTTTTAATATATTTATATTTAAACCACAAGAAGAAAACGCAATTTTTTAATTGACCCTTGTCATATTTTTCATGCCACTGAAAGTAAAATTTGGAAAGTGATAAGAATATAATTAATAATGTGATCATAGTGTTTTTATTTGTTACATGATTAAAACTTTAACATTTTCATATAAAATCAGATTATTTATTATAAAACTAACAAATTTACGTAACATTTTGAAAAGGATTAATGAAAAGTTTGTAATTAATATCATGACAAGCTGATTCTGGTGAAATATTTGTTAAGAGTTTTACAGATACTAGTTTTACAGATATAGTTACTTAATGTAATTGTGCAAGGAACTTTTTACTTTCTCGACCTTATTCCGTAAGTATACAAAGTCGTGTTATCGTGCGCCGCAAACGGGCGAATTTTCGACAGAAAAAAACTGTTATTGCCGGACCGAGACAACGAAATATTTTTAAACAGGCTTGTAGCACGGTCTGTGACGACGAACGAAGAGTTGCTCAATTGCTCATTTGTATCAAGTTTTTTCTCATTTCGAAAAATTCAACGTACCTGTTGTGAAAAATTGGGTCTCGAAGTTTAAGATTCCAGAGGGGGGTTCTGAAAATTCTCTGGATCTATCGGCGATAGTCATAGTTTTGTTTTATTAGTTATATTTTTTAATTCATTGATCGGTCTTAATTGCATTCATAATTTCTCATTTTTGTGTCAAACATCCGTCCCTCATTTTCAGTGCTACATACATAAAATCTCAGCCTCTATGGTTTTAATACCTCGAAAATTTAATATTAATGGCTAATTTAATATAATTTCTTTGCTCTGTGTAAATGTGGGTACAGGTAAGGGGTTTTGGATTCAAGTTACAATATACGTTTATAGGTTTTTGATTAAAAATTTTAGAAAATGAGAATTATCATTTTTTAAAATCTAACGTTTTCACTTTAATACATATTGTGCAGTTAAACAGTGTAAACATACGATGTAACATTTTCAATAAGCAAATTTCTACATCTTAGACAATTTTATGTTTAATTGTTAGTAAAATGTATACATTAAAAGGTAAAATACTTTCCGCAAACAACCGAATGAAATTTGTTACACGTGCGAGAACATGCATCTGTCTGAATGTATTTTTCAACGCCCCTTTTTGTTTCTAGATATATAGATTCGAGACGAAAAGTGCAATTACGTTTAGTCATAATTTTATTTTTCTTGAATATTGAAAAGGCAGAAATACGTAAAAGTAATGACAGTAATGGATATATTTACGCAATTCAGTTTTTATCATAACTGTTTTCTTGCTTTTTCATTCCTCATTGTATAAAATACCACGTTCACATACACACCAAACGCTTTAAATGTCTACCTTTCCAATAATTGTTTTTAAAAATTGTGACAAATTTTGTGGTTTCGTTTCTTTGAGTAATTATCACAGAAACACCTTCATTTAGTTTTAACTGACTTCTAAAGAGGGGAGTCATACAATTCGACATGTATGTTTTTTTATTTGTTCAGCAATAATTGCATGCTACAAAAATTACCCATTTTAAGTCACTGCCGATTTAAATAACAAAAAAGTTTTTAATTGTTGTTGTAAATTTATATTGCATTTTTATATTTATAAGACTGTTCGACACTTTATAAATCATTAAGATTCCCTCTTAATCTATCCTTCATTCTCATCTAACTTGGCATTCTTATTAATAAAAAAAGCAATTTCAATGGAAGTTATACATTTCCTTTAATTTATAAAGAGAGTTGGTCACTGCTTATTTAGTTTTCTAAACCCTTTAGTATTAATTCTTCTCAATGCAAACTTCAATAAATTCTTCTACCACTTCAGAGAGCTTCTCGCGGTACAAACTGTCGTTCTTGAAAGCGTGCATGGTTTCAGGGATTCTGTCTTGCTTAATGAATCTTTCATAGTCTTTCGAAGATTCCATTACAGGCTTCAAATCATCCTTGCTGAGAAAAGTGATTACACTGTACAAGCACGTAATCATGGCACCCATTGGTTTGTAGTGTTCACATGAGTTCTTGAACTCCTCCCACGACAGGACACTGTCGGGTTCTATGTCATGTCGCCGGAGATTCTGCGACAGTTGGTCGTGGTAGAATTCCAGCAGCTGGGGGTAATGCTCTTCCCGGAACGCCCTGGAGGTTCCCAGGTACAAAAAACACGTGACGTCGTTGGCCGGCGGCGTGTAGCGAGTGATCTGATAGTCGCACATGAGCGCTTCCACAGGCTCACCTTCCTCGAGTCGGAAGAAAATGTTGTTCCTCCACATGTCTCCGTGGCTAATCACATTACGATAGCGGTCCGACGTTTTCACCAGTTCGAAGAAGGTGTACATCACGTCTTGGATCTGGGTTTTCATCTTTTGTAGGGCGTCGGCGCCTCGGATTTCCTCCACAAGTTTCCACAATACCCTCACGCCGGACTCCAGCCACAGCGTGCCCGGGTGCCCGGGTCGCAGTAGGAAGAAGGGCTCCTTCAGATCGGCCTCGTAGTCCGCCGTCACGCGGTAGCCAGGCGCCGGGTGCTTCTCTTCAAAGATGAGCGACGCCGCGTGCAGGTTGGCCAACGCCTTCAGCACCGTAGTGCAGTGCTGGAAACCGAATTTCACCGCACGGTCCAACACGCGGAACCCCAGCGGGCTGACGTCCTCGAAGACGATGACGTCTGGCCTGGTGTAGTAGCACTTGCAGCACCACTTCATGTCTTCGCCGCCGTTCTCCAGCACGGACCTATCATCATCATTATTATTATTATTATTATTATTATTATTATTATTATTATTATTATTATTATTATTATTATTATTATTGGCGTGAAGGACATTACTGACTACTCTACATGATTAACGCGTGTAATTTTTCCAAGACCAGCTTTCCAGCTGCATCCCTCAGTGCGACAGGGTTGTCAAGCCTTGAATTATGGATTATGAGATGATAGGATGATGATGAGAGCTGAAGTGACGATTACAATTACAACCATTCCTAAGCAGGTCTAGAACCTGCAGTCTCCTCGGCGCAGACGACGGCTACTTCAACCGTCTGAGTAACATTATTATTATTTAACTATTAATTAATAACACATAATTATTATTTTTATAAAATGCCGGTTATTATTCTTTGTGCTGACGAATGTAACGATTTCAGCAAGTGGAATAAATTTCGGGGCAGCGAATGTGAAAAGAAATGACCTTCCCATTGATATTTATGATTGTAGAAAATACCTTTTCTCGCACGCTGTTTATGGAATATGAATGAGATAACATTAACCCAAGTCCATAAAATGAAAACAGGATAAAGCGATGAAAAAAGTATAAGGCAAATTGTTTAAAAAATTAAAGCACTTAAAAACAACAAAAATGGTTGACGTTTTAATCGACAGCAATATTATACGAACTCGCGGCAAAAAGATGAATAAATTTAAAAAAATGAATATGATGCGAAAATCGACCACTGTCATCCATCGGCCAAATTCAGAAAAGTAACTACAAATAACTAGATAAAACATTAATGATTGCTCGAAACATAGTACTAAATACATTTGTTCTATTCCTCTATTCCCGTAAAGTAAGAGATTCATCGTTTTCATACGATCAGTTACGTAATGTAACCAAAGTTTTATTCTAAAAATGTTTCTCCATTAAAATTCTTTTATTTTATTTCTGATGATTGATATTGAGGAAGAACGTTCTCTTGGTCCTGATCTCTCTTAGTCTTTTTGAGAGTACCACAATTAAAAACGACATTGAGAAAGCGTAATGTATCAGTATCAAACAACATGAAGGCCAGTCAAGTTGAATCCGGAAAGAGCTGATATCAGAGCCTAAGCCAATGCCCGGATGACCCACTAAGCGGTGAAGCAAGAGGACGATGCGTAAACGAAGACTATTCACGTAGTCACGTCGCCGCATTCTGTAATTTCCAGGCGAAATAAAAATGTGTTTAATTCCCTTCAGACCTCTGTTTATTCTTTTCCTTCAACTCCATCTCCATGAGAAGGTGGCCACTAACTATACAATGTTTGGTAGATATCAACGGTATTGTTCTGATATTGTGAAACCTCAAATCGTTGGAGAAACCTCGTGATTAAAACGAGAAGTTAAACATAGCAGAGGCCGAATTCTTTACGATTAGATAACTGTTGCGTTCAACGCTACACTTTACACTGAGATGTTGGTGACAGGAAAATGATCTTCGAAAAAAACCTTTTTTAATTAAAAATAAATATACATTATTTTTAATTAAATGTAATTTTTAACTATTTGTTAATGATTTGTTTTCACTAATTATTGTTAACTATTTGTTATTTTGCTTTATTTACGCAGTTTCTCAATTAACTCCTACCACAAATCGCACGTCCATTTAAATAATCTGAATACAAAGTTATATTAATTACGCTACCCACTCAGTATTCCTTAGTCAGACTTTATAAAGCTCAGTGCGTATATTTCCCGAAAGTTCATTCCCGCCTGAGATAAGGCGTAATATTTTGGGGGAACAAATCCTACAACTCCTAGATCTTCGGTTTCCAGAAAATAATTATCAGAAGAATAAGCAAATTCCGCCCAAGTGATTCTTGAAAACTCTTTATTAAGCTAGGAATTGCATCAATGCCTATTCTCTTGATTTAGGAATCAGTGGTTTTTGCCAAAAATGTGTTTGTCAATAGTAAGAACATCGTTTCAGCTAATAGAGATGTCTAAACTCAAAGAAGTAATCACTTTAACCTTGTCAGCAACATAACAACAGCGCATAACAACATTATATTTGACCGTACACGGTATCCATATACAATCAAAATTAAAACATACAATTTAAGTGACAGGTTAGTTGATTCTGCGAGGAAATTGAATAATTTCATGAAGTGAAGGATCATAGCTTCAGGGTGTTGTTCGCGAGACGACACACGTACGATCAAATGTTCATTATGTTATTTCTTTCTTTATCTCTTTATGTGTAGCATCCTAAAGAGATTGCAGAATATATGAGCAAAGTTAAGTCAATTTGTGTGTGCTTGTATTTTCCCTTTCTTACTACTAGAAGATCCCGTCTCACTGAGATCAATACAAAGTTCATATTGAGCATTCGCCGGCACCTCCCCTTCTAGTGCCTGCTATTTGCATTAGACGTTTGTACTACAATATTTTCAAAGATGAAAGACGAGACATTTCATGGTAACGAAAAAAAGTTAATTTTTGTTTCTGTATGCAATAAATTGCTTCCTTTCTCACGTTGTGTAATCATATTCCACGTTTTGTGGGTTCTTGATACCGAGCAATCGATTGCCAGCAAAAAGTTCGTCTATCCGCTCGTCTGTTCGATCGCCTGTCCGTCCGTTTGTCTCTGCCTGACGGTCTGTCTGTCTGACGGTCTGTCTGTCTCTGTCTGACGTTTTTCTACGGGTCTCTTACTTGTCATCTACGGGTTTGTCTTACGGTCTTTCTGACGTCTTGGTCTGTACTTGTCAGGTCCTTGTATTTGGTCAGTCTTACGTTTCTGTTTGGAGCTTCTTCTACTCTGTTGGACGTCTTGTCTGGGACGTCTGCCTGGGGACTTTTGGTGATGCTGTCTTACTGGTCTTTCTAATTCTGGGTCTTAACGTGGGGTTCGTGCTACGGTTGTTGTCTTACTTCTGTCTTACGGGTTCTTCCTGGACGTTCTTTTTACTGGTCTGGGGACGGTCTTGTCTTAACGTTCTGTCTGACTTTCTTTCCTGACTTCTTCTTAGTGGGTCGGTCTTACTCTGTCGGGTGGTCTTTCGTTTTCTTTGGTCTTATCTGGTCGTGTCTGTCTGTCTTGTCTTTCTGTCTTTCTGTTTTCGTCTCTTCTGTTCTTCTTGCGGTCTTTCTCTTCGTTCTACTTCTACGTCTCTGACGTCTTCTATCAATGTGTACCAGTACTCAGTTACGGAAATCTTTTCTAGCACTTACACTCCTTTTTGGTAATTTCCTTTCATCTCCACCAAGTCTGCGGTTTCTCCTTCAGCTCTGCTTCTTGCCTGACGGAATAATTCATCTCTCTCCTCGTCTGGTTGGCTTCCGCGGTCAGGCTGGCACGGCGCTCTTTTCTTTGCCCCCCATAAGGCTGCCCGCCGTACAGTCTCTCAGTCTTCTGTTAACTAAACATGAAATTAATACCACTGTCGTCTCTCTTCATTTCATTATATCGTATTTTTATTTATATTTGGTTATCTGATTTAATTATTGTATTTATATTTAATTCTAATTAATTATTTATTATATTTATGCTTAATTAATATATTATTATATTTTAGTTTATTCTATATTTATTTATTTATTATTATTTATTTATTATTTATATATTTATTTATTTATTTATTTAGTTTATTTATTGTATTAGTTTATTTATTTAATTATTTATTTATTAATATTTTATTTATTTTATTATTTATATTGTGTTCTGAGAAATCATTTTTATACACAGAAAATATTACTTAATGATTATTTAACGATGTTTTATTTAAAGTAGTATTCATTAATCAAGTATTCATCATTATTACATTAATAGGGACAGTACATTAACAGTATAGTGCATTAATAGGGACTTATTATTGCTGATAATTAGAATTATTATTGGAATAATTTCCTGTTGGTTTTAATTTAATCCTATGTTCATTCAATAGAAATTAAGTGATTTTAATTATCTTAAATAATCGTTAGCCATTTTCATGATTGAATTAAAATTGATGATAAATTCGATGTTGAGCATTCATTACACAATTAAATGAGAAAAATGTTATTATAATTTTATTTAAATAAAATTATAATAACATTTTATTCGTTTACATTAATCTAACACTTACACACATCATAGTTTAATTACACCGCTTAATTTACTTGTTATTTGATTATAAACGAGATTGCCAATCAAACAGGACATTGCAAATTTATAGTCATTTGTAATTATTTTATTTAAATAATTATTCATTACATTCATATTATATCTTACTTGAATTGCTTTGATGTGATAAGCCAAGTTATCTATTTCTCCTAACTTTCAAAAAGTGTTACAAAGTAGTCGAAGGGAATTTTCATTTCTATGTCAACTGATGGCCCAATTTGGAATCATATTGATGAAAAGTAGACAAAAAAACCTGTTTGCGAGATTTAAGAAACAAGGTTGAAATTTATTAATGAAAAATTGGTTTAAATCATCAAAGTGAAATGAACGGCACCCTGTTTATTTTTTAATTTAGGTTTATATTTAGTAATGTGATTATATTTTAATAGGCGTATTATTTTATAACAAAAATAAATGAAAAACACTTTGTACTTTACTGAGGTTGTACGTTAAATTACAATAGTCTAGAGTTTTCATCAGAGTTACCCGTGACAGAAAGTGACGTAACATACTTTAACAATTGTTTGTAATAAAAGTTGTTGAATATCAGAACTCGCTGCAGGCCACACGAGGCCAAAGGGGGATTATTATATTTCTTGTGTAATTATAAGCCTATTGCATTTCATAACTATATTTCAACATGTTATGGGCAATTTCAATCTTGTCATTAGTTTTTCAATGAACCCATTTTATTTTAGACAGTTTTTTTAAAAGTATATATAATACACAATAATGCACAACACAAATTTCATGTTTTATCTTGTACTAAATATGTTTTTCTTCACTTGAATAATTTGTATCTAAAACGTTCGCTTAACTTATTTTAAATTATCACATTAGTTAGAAAATTTAGAAATCGCAAATTTTTTAATTAGTTTTAAATTACGAAATCTAGAAATTAATAGAATTTATTATGTACAAGGAAATGAACACAAAAAGCACATCACAAATTTCATGTTTTATCTAGTACTACCACATTATATTAATAATGTGTTTTTATTGTGTATTATATGATTTTCGATAAAAAGTTAAAAACTGTTTACAATAAAATGTGATTATAATGTTAAAATAATATAATATATATTAGAATATATATGAATTCTAACAAGATTCTATGAAATATATATGAATTCTATCAAGATCAATAGACAGTTATTTTAAACTTTCAATTTAATTTAATAATGTTCTTCGAGTGGTTCATAATTTTTACTTCCAATTGAATAAAAAAATACATTATTATTTCAAACATTCTAAACCAAATTATTGCCATTAATTGCTCCATTGTTTAAAATTCTTGAATTAAATTTTAATTTAAAAAAACTGGTTTAACATTTTATAGAAATTTTAGTACTTACATAAAATTTAAGCATTCTAGACAAATTCATAGTGAATTTCATCCCAATGTACTGTATTATTATGTACTGTACCCATTATACTGTATCATTCTCGCAAACTTCATGCAATATTACCTGATGCTAAGCACTTCGAACTGGTTGGTGCCCAAGTGGCGCTTCACCACTTTTGCCCATTCTTCCTTGGTGAGAAATTCCTCTTGTCCGACCATTGCAACGGAGAAGAATAAAATGACGACTGTAAATTTGATGTTCCATTGCGTATATATGTATTTCCCTCCTCCTCAAGCTCATTGTTTCGTAAGAAGGGTTTACCTTTTCGGCAGGTAGTGTGCCTTATCTGTTCCAAACAAAAGACGCGTCACATAAAAAAAAACTCTTTTTCTGATCTGTGTAGCAAAATGAAGCATGGTATTCTTAGATTTGAGTAATCTAGAATTCACAAGTCACGTTTCTTCCTGACGACGTTGGAAAGCACGACTCTAAAAATTAATGACTTGCAGTATCACGTGTCTATTGTTCTGGCTGTAGTCGGGGCGCAGGATCCAATGCAAGCAACGTCATTGTCACAATTAGTGACATGTAAATTACAACGGAATTAAACGATTGACAATTTTTTTAAAGTTGTTAACTAACACTTTCGTTTTCCTCTTAATATTTACAAAATCGTCGGCGACTGTAAGTTAATATTAATTGCAGATGATGATGGGCACCACTTTCGATTTCAGATCGTAGGCGAGAGAGGGGAGGTTTACGTAATTATGTCTCCGTTCCTGACTGGTAATAAAAAGAATGCAGTGCAATTATTTTCAAAAACACAACTATCACACATAACAGATAAAATACAGTATTATTACTCAAAAGATAAGTAAGCAATCCCAATAATAAAAACATTTGCAGTTTAATTCAATTCATCGCTGGACCTGTGCGAATGCTCCGTACTTGAATCATTGTTTTATACAAAAATTCAACTATGATGGTAAGACTGTGTGTTATATCGTATAGGATCAGTTCAGTGCGTGGGTAAATTTTCTAACATTTCTTAGCGCGTAATAGATCAGATTGATTAACAATGCAATTAATAAAAACGTAGAGACATTTTCATTATAAGAAACGAAAATTATCAAATCTTAGTACAATAGTGGTGAATAAATAATGCTCCACTACCATATATTAATAATATAATAATAAATGACAATAATAATAATAATAATAATTTCCAAAATTAATAAATCCAGAAGGAAATAAACTCTTTGACTGCGTAATTTGCAGGGAAAGGAAAAGTACCTAAGCAAGTGAGAAATAAGATACGATCAATTGCTAAAATAATGAAGTAGAAAATGAGCCTTAAAGGTCTGGATATGAGGTTTAAAGCAAACGTCTGAAACAGACAAGTGATGCCCACGCTGCGAGAATTTGGCTTTCTGATGAAGCAGCAAAGAGACGCGAACAACAACCAGCCTTCGATTTCGACCAGAAGAAATTTTGTAGGAAACTGCAGAATGACAATGAAAAGCAGCAAGGACAATTTTTGAGTAGCGAATTCCTAGTTCAGTATTAGATTGATATGTGGAATAAACCACAGCAACCCGATGAAGAAGCCTACTGGCTGCAGGTGGAAAAAAAAACTTTCCGCAACATCAACGAGATGCCTCCCTTTGAAAACTACGTGGTGATATCAAAACGGTAGTACAGAGAACACAGAATTGGAAGTCACCAGGTCCGGATGATATCCAAAATATATAGTGGAAGTATTTCACTGTCACGCATCTATGACTGGCTCGACAGCTCAATGAAGCTTTGCGAGATCCAACTATATTCCCGAAGTACTTGTTGTCAGGCATAACGTACATGGTGCCCGAAGTCAGTGATAGATCCCAACCAAGTAATAATGGACCTATCACTTGCTTGTCTACACTATATAAAATGTTGTCTTCCATAATCTCTTCAAGAATGTGTAGTCATTTGGTCGTCCAGCACATTTTGGCTGCTGAACAGAATGGCTGTCGCAAGGGAAATATGGGATGAAAATAATTAGAAGTAAATTATAGTGTAATTACGCAGCAAGTACGAAAGCGAAAGCGCAATATTTCTGCAAGCTGAATAGATTACGAAAAAGCCTTTGATTTGGTACCTCACTCATGGCTTCTAAGAGTCCTTGACTAGTGTCAAAATCGATCGAACGCTGATCCATTTCTTGAAGAACTGCATGTCAGAATGGAAAACCCATTTGCAGATTAAGAAGGGAACCTGCTGATATTCCTGCTGAAGGGAGCCTGCTGAAACTATATGATTCTAATAAACATCACTTACAAAACCTGTTCGAAATTGCCAAGATTTTCAGCGTCGCAGTTTGCACAGAGTTTGGGACTAACAAATGCGCTACAATTCATGTTGACTATGGGGAAATCCAAAACAGAGAACAAAATATGCAACTATCTGGTGAAACAATTATTAAATAATCTCGGTACTTGAGAGTCCTACAAATACCTCTTAATGCTACAGTTGTTGGAAATTTTTGATTCAGACGTTAGGAATAAGATCGTACAAAACGTGCTATTGAGAGGTAAATAAATCAGCAAAACATGGATCAATTCAAAAAGCAAAATATTTGCTATTAATATTTCGCCTATTTCCATAGCAACTTACACATCTGGTGAATAAAATGGACAGACACATTCTTACAGACGTTTGACAGGAAAATAAAGAATACGCTTACAAGGCATTGACTTCACCACCCACAGAGTTCAGTGCAGAGCCTGTACTTATCTCGAGGTGGGGCAGGAAGAAGTCTCCTTAAATTGGAGGCTGAACACGCCGACGACAAGAAGAAAAGATACATCGGTACTTTCTTTCCATTAACTCGCCTGTTCACAAAGCTATCTGTGATCAAGATAAAAAGATGACCCCACTATGTCTGGCAGAACTAAGCAAACATTATGATTACCTGAAGCATCAAGATCGCGTGTATTCCTTGTATAGAAAAGAACATCATAGTATATTTTTTGCAACTTTAACTTCAGAGAACATTGAAAAGGAAAGCTTAGTGGAGTGGCTTCGAACTGGAGGCCTCTTCGGTGAGACTGAAGGATTTATTTTCTCCATTCAAGACCAAGTTGTAAAAACCAGAGCATTTAAACAGTTCATAATGGGTCAACAAATTCATAGCGAATATAATGTGATGCTATGTAAATCTGCCAACGAGACAATCCCGCGTATTTTGCTCTGCATTCCCCGCATTAGCTCAATCAGAATGTTTTAAGAGACAACTGCGTCTCCAAAGTAATTCACCAAACCCTTGTCAAAAGATACGACCTCGTAGTGAGAGAGCAACCTTATTATAAGAGCAAACTAGAGCAAGTAATCTACAATGAGAGTTCGAATTCTGTGAGATAGTGCAATCGTCACTGATCGAACAATGGACGCAAATAGTCCAGATATTGTTCTGTTAGATAAAATCTCTAAAACATTATGCATCATTGATGTTGCGGTCCCAACAGATAACAAACAGGCTTGTAACAACTGTTGCTGAGAAAAAGAGGAGGTACCAACCCCTGCCTGATGAATTCAAGGACATGTCGTATTGCACGCAGTGGAAGTGCTTCCAGTAGTGGTGTCCATTCCAGCGATCCATTCCAGCGAATGGATTGGTTACCAAGGAATAGCAAGTGACTGCGAAGAAATTAAAACTCACTGACTGAGAAGCATTTGCGAACAATTCAGAAAACTGCATTAATGAGAACAGCAAACAGTCCGTAAAATCTTAAGCTTGAACTGACGGATATCAAACATCAATTACCTTCTTGTTTAACTTTACGTGTTAACCATAGTTGCCTTGAGCAAACATAAAAAGAACCCCGGCATCAGAGTATATCCACAGATAATAGGAAATAATAATAATAATAATAATAATAATAATAATAATAATAATAATAAGCTGACCGTAGAGCACTGATTTATAGATCCGAAAAAACGTGCATCAGGTGAGAAATCAGCAAATTACAAATGAAGTCCAGGCAGAATTTCAAATACAAAGCACGGCAACACTGCAAACACCTCCCAAGACCAAGAGACCGATCATATAACTTCATTAGTAAGCCAGCCTGACAGGGAAGCCGAAACACTTATGGAAGACTCTCGGTGTGAAAATTTGAAATCTCAATATTAGTTGGCAATTGCAGAAATTGTGGACTTGACCCTGCTATAGGGCCAAGGATCCCAAACAAAACAAACTCCAGAAAGCTCGCGATCCTGATTAAGACAGCAAATGAGAAGATCTTACCTTGGAAAGTAAAATATTTATTCCTACGTCAGCTAGACTCTACCATTTACTGTATGCCGTAGCATTGTGAGGAGAATGGCGGTAAGATGACTGAAGCCCGAGTCACATAACTACCGCAGCAAGAGAGAACCACCGTGGAAGCGAAGGACTCCAAAAAGAAAATAGATGCGCATAAGAATCAGATATTTGCAGTGATTTGAGCGTTCCAGAGAGGAAGCCGAAGTAAACGTATGCGAAACAAAGTCTCCAACATCAAAAAGAAATACCGAAAGCATGCACAACATTAACTCATAAAATAGAACTCTCGCTGACTTTGCAGACACTCTTAAACAACAACTGAGAATCTACAGTCAGCGACTTGACGTTATTCAAAAGCCTTAGTAGGAAAATAGACAACCGGGACTTCATAAAAAACCAGAAGACTTTTTATAGAAAAATGGCGAGGAAGAAATCAACGTTGAACGTATTCTAGAGAAGTCAGCTATAGAAGGTTTCTGAGCAATGTCTGGTCAATCTGAAAATCACTTCAACAGGAACGCGCCATGGCGTGCAACAAATTGAGACGGACTCAGAGAACATCGGACACATGGCAACATCGTCCATTGAAATAGACACTCTGAAAGAAGTCATGCGCAAGCAGCACAATTGGAAATGCCCTGGACTGGACGGACTCCATAATTTCTGGTTCAAGAGATCACCAGTCTACATTACAAAGATATTGAACTGATCAACTATTATTACAGAACCCAGAGGAAATCCCTTTCCTATCTTGTGAGGGTAACACGTTCATGAAACCCAAGACAAGCAACACAGTGGACCCTTCCAATTTTAGACCAATCACGTGCCTCAACGCATTCTACAAAATCACCAAGCTGCCGCCTAGCTGTAATAGAACAGCACTGTTCACCAAATAAAGTCATCACGAAACAC